GAGCCGCTCGGCCGGCCGCTGGCCACCCCTGCCGGCGGCGTGCGCTGAGGCGGAAGAGAGGAGGGAAGTGGGATGGGGAAGTGGGATGGGGATGGGGATGTGGGATGGAGGCCGAGACCCTCCGGTGAGAGAGGGGGAAGGAGGAGCAGCCGGACCCCTGGGACGTCCCGCGGCGCAGCGGGAGGGTGGAACCTTTGGTTCATAGTTAACCCTGACCTTCACACCCTGCGAGACAAAACCCCGCAGAACCGGGAAGCAGTAGCAGCTACCTAAAGGAGCAAAATACATGTCTGCTTCGCTGTCGACACGCTTCTAATAGCATAAATTCATAGAATCATGGAATGGTTTGGGTTTCTTAAAGAAAAAGCACCTTAAAGATGATCTAGTGCCAGCCTCCCTGCCCTGGGCAGGGACAGCTCCCACCAGACCAGGTTGCTCCAAGCCCCATCCAGCCTGGCCTTGAACACCTCCAGGGATGGGGCAGCCACAGCTTCTCTGGGCAACCTGTTCCAGTGTCTCACCACCCTCACAGTAAAGAATTTCTTCCTAATATCTAAATCTCACCTCTTTCAGTTTAAATTCCTTACCCCTCATCCTGTCACTCCACTCCCTGATAGAGTCCCCTCCCCATGTCTCCTGTAGCCCCCTTCAGGTGCTGGAAGGCTCCAATAAGGTCCCCCCGGGGCCTTTTCTTCTCCAGGCTCAACAACCTCAATTCTTTCAGCCTGTCCTCACAGAAGAGGTGATCCAGCCCTCAGGTCATCTTCGTGACCCTCCACTAGACCTGATCTTACGTTAGGAGCTCCAGAGCTTGACACACTACCCCATGTGGAGGCTCATGAGAGTGGAGCAGAGGGGCAGAATCAACTCCCTTGATCTGCTCGCCACACTTCCTTTGATGCAGCCCAGGATGTAGCTGGTTTTCTGGTCTACCAGCCACGTTGCTGGCTCACTTTGAGCTTCTCATGCACCAACACCCCCAAGTCCTTCTCCTCAGGGCTGTTCTCAATACATTGTCTGCCCAACCTTTATTTGTACTTGGGATTGCTGTCACCCATATGCAGGACCTTGCATTTGGCCTGGTTGAACTTCATGAGGTTTGCCTGGGCCCACCTCCCAAGCCTGTCCAGGTTCCTCTGGATGGCATCCCGTCCCTCCAGCTTGTCGACTGCACCACACAGCTTGGTGTCATCGGCAGACTTGCTGAGGGTGCACTCAACTGTGTGTAAGTATAAGCTACATTAAAGCACAGTTGCCTTAAGTTTATTTTTGAGATGCATAAGTTATTGAATGACCAAGCTGTAAAAGGAAATATTAGGCAAACTTAAAATCTCCCAAAACCCAATGATTAAAATAAACTAGCATAGGCTTAGATGAAATTGCAAAATCAGGTTCCGGTCTTGTTTTTGTTGGTTTTGTCGTCCGCATTACCTCCTTGTAGTTACTGTTGATAAATATTTAAGAATTGAGCTTGTAATACCAACCTAAAGATAAGCAACGGTGTGTGTAATGTGTTGCAGATCATTCAGTATTCACTTGCACCTTTTTTCAAAATTCAACTATTAGATATTTTGGGAATTTTAGCGTAAAAACTGCTAGGAAATAACAGTCAGTGATGTTATACATGTGAGTGGAAAGGTAAGTAATAATTAATTGTAATTAGGTGATACGTACGATATAGCAGTGAAATTAAGTGCTCTTCACATTTAAAAGCTGTTGAAATAAAACAAGATATTTCGCCTTTCTTACAAGTTAGCGATTGAAGAGATCCATTATATCTCATATAAAATGTTACAGCTTAACATCATGTGTCTGTGTGAGTGTTACTGTTGGACTTGAATGAGTTCCTGTATATAAATAAAAGTTACTTCTTAAGAAGAAAAGAGAAACCTTTTAAGAACTTTTAGTCTGAAACCGGTTTGAGGCTTTTTGTGAGCCTTCATTTCTTAATATAGTTGGGTTTTATTTGCATATAGTAGAACTAAGAGACATCCAACAAGCTTGATGCCTTATAAAACTGCTTGTTAGAAGTAGTAAGATACAATCCCTACCCTGAAGCATTTATAGTCTAAACTACACAAGGAAATGCAGTGAAATATGCTCTTGGTTCAAACTGTCTTTTTTGGATGTATTCTGAGTATATATTAAAAATGATATTGTATTGATCTGTTGTGCTTCTGTCCTCACTATCTTCTGCCTTGAAGCCAAAATTGACAAAATATGCAATATGAAGTTTTGACTTTACAACTTTGGAAAGAGATAGAGATTTTAGGTGAAACTAATTTCTTAGACAAAACTGCAGGAAAACAGCAGTCCTCTTGAAATGGCCCTTTCTATGGAATTTGGAGGGCCTGAAAATTATAAAAAATGTCATTAGAAAAATGTGTATACATCTCACAGCATCTAATTTCCTTAGGTCTCACACATCTTTGCTCCAAGTATTTATACTGAGACTTAGTAAACTTACATGGCTTGCCCAAGGTCAGTTAGTTAATAAGCAGCCAAACCTGAGAAGACAATCAAAGAGCTATGACTACAGTATTCTGACAGAGATACTACACATAATACTTTTTTATAACTAATAGTGCTTTTACTATACAGTATCTTGGCAATTATTCTGCATAATATATACTAAAATGGGGTGAATGTTTTATATTTTAAAAAGGTGCATGTGCCCTTTTGAACAGGGAGAATAAATAAGGCAACAGGGAAGGTTTGGATTTTCTGCCTCTTCCTTCTTACCTGATCTCACAGTGACAGAAAAGCTCTGGAAAAGGGGAATTTACGTTTGAGAGCCAGCATAATAAATTAACTTGCTACCCTTGGCAAGTGTTGTCGCACAACAAGTGGCTGTAGCTGCTGCAAAATATCTAGAGACATGCAGATTTTATATCTTTTCCTTTAGTCTCCTTTGACAGTGGAAAGCATACGAAATGCCAACTGTGAATTAAAACACCGTTCTGAGTGTAGGTCCCCACGTCCTCCCTTGTATGTGAGTTTTCTTCTTGATTTTTTAATGAAGCTACATAGTTTGCATCTCCATGTGGGAACACAGCTAAATCCAACTTGTTAATGTTTTGATTTTAAACATTTTGACTGAGGCAGGCAAACAGGAGAAAAACTGCGGTTCTTAAGGTGGAGTGCTGAGCTTCTCTTCATCACAGGATGAGGCACTTATGCTGTGGTTCCTGAGGCGCTTGAAGAAAAATGGGTCAACGTTGTCAGAAGCCCAAAAGTTTGTACTTTATACACGTAGAAATATCACAGGACTTCTGTATTTTTAGCTCTTGACTAAGTAATTTGCTTCCTATTGTAAAAGTTCACATGATGATCTTGTGTCTTCTCTGAAAGAAACTATTATAAGAATGATTTCCCCTTTTTTTATTACAGTTCCTTTTTTAGGAATTAGAGTTTCACTAATCACATGCAATAAAACTGTATGTATATTGCAAATATACACATATTGCATATTTATTTTTCTTGCTGTGAATATTTTAGTTAGATAAATAGCACTTTTATAGGCAAAGCAAAATTATATCTACTTCCCAGCAGTGCAGTAATATTTTCATAAGAGAAACCATCCTCAATTTTATTTTACAGACCTGCTAAATTGCACTTATAAAGAAAATTTGAATTTAGTTTCTGCTCATGTATATTCTACTTACAAGAATGTAATAGCTGATTTGGATGAAATAGATCAGATCCCAAGAAGGAAATGTAATACTCTGTAGGTCACATAATAGATCTCTGCAAAGGAATTGAATCCACTTATTTTAGAGAAATCATAGAATGGTTTGGGTTGGAAGGGACCTTAAAGATCATCAAGTTCCAGCCCCCTGCCCTGGGCAGGGACACCTCCCACCAGACCAGGTTGCTCAACGCCACATCCAGCCTGGCCTTGAACACTTCCAGGGATGGGGCATCCACAGCTTCTCTGGGCAACCTGTTCCAGTGTCTCACCACCCTTCCTGCTTCTGAGTGCTTCCTTCAGAAGGATTTGGATCCGATCTGTGATGAACAAGATGTTTGTATTGATGAACTAAATGTTCATGTTAGTGAAGAAGACAAAGCAGCAGAAGAAACAGCATTACAATTTAAGCCGGCAAAGTCAGTTTTGATCAGCTTCTGTCCTCCTTAGGGGAAGGATGTAGTCCAAGTGTTCAGGACTAGACTTGGCGTAGGATGCCAGAATCATGTTTCCATGATGATTGGGAAAAGGGTATTGGAAACAAGGCACTTAGAGAGTAGTTGTTTCCATGGCACAATCTCGTAGTTTTTAGAAATAAATGGCTTACAGCATCCTTATCCGGAAGTCTGTAATTCAGCCAATAAATTTAACAGCTCTTGATGAACCCATGAACTTGGCTAATCCCTCCTGAGAACCCAGCTTTACTGTAAAACATTAGCTATTAAGGATTTATTTAGGTAGAATCTTGTGGTGTAAAAGAAGATGCTTTGTTTTGCTCAGATTTAGCCCTCTTGTTAATAGTCTTATCACATAACTTGTAGTAGCTGTTCTACTTCACCTTCTTTGCACTATTTGAGTTTTAATGTGTCTTATAGTTGTCCTCAACTGCCCTTAGAGTGTCCTCGCATCCTAAATCCCACTTAGCATGAAGCCACTTGTGATTGAGGGGGTGGTTCTATTTCTCGACTATATCTGCATTGCCTTCAACTGTTCCCGATCCAATTCTTGAGATGCTGAAATGAATATATCAAAATTTGGGTATGTTATGTGCTAGACTGATGGTTACAATTTGCATTATGTTCTTAGTCCTCTTTTGTATATTTATGAACATTTTATATTTTTGACCCTTGCTGAGCTGTTACATGGCTATTATCTTAACTGTTCTACCTTATGACAAGGCTCTAAGAAACTCGAGTGCTTAAAACTGTATTATTTTGAATAAAATATATCT